ATATATATATATATATATATATATATATATATATATATATATATATATATATATATATATATATATACGAGGGTAATCTGAAAAGTTTTGAGCCTTAACATAAGATGACGTTACTTGTCAAAACATTCTAGTACTACAATAGTATATGCTTTGAAAGACTTTTGTGAAAATTTCAGCCATTTTAGGCGCTCAGTTGTTTGACAGTCGTTTGTGTCAGTCGATGTCAGTGTTTTTGTAAAAGTGGAAAAAATTGAATATCGTGCCGTGATTAAATTCTTACATTTGAAAGGCAATACGCCTACGCAAATTAAAATCGAGTTGGACGCTGTTTACGGGGACTTTGCCCCATTATTTGCCATCGTAAAAAGATGGGCAGCTGAATTTAAACGTGGTCATACCAGCTTGGCTGATGATGAGCGTTCGGGATGACCAAAAACTGCGACCATCGCTGATAACATCAAAAATGTTTACCAAATGGTACTGGACGACCATCGAATCAAGGTTAGAGAGATAGCAGAGGCTTATGGGCATATTGAAAGAACGCGTTTGTCATATATTGACTGAAGAATTGGATATGCGCAAGCTATCCGCGCGTTGGGTGCCACGTTTGCTCACTTTGGACCAAAAACGAATTCGAATAAACATTTCCAAGGCCCTGGAGCGGTTCAAGCGAAACGAGTCAAATTTTTTGCGTCGATTCATAACTGTAGATGAAACTTGGATCCACCACTATACTCCAAAGACAGTCAAAAGAATGGATTGCAAAGGGTGAACCGGCTCCGAAAAAGGTGAAGACGGTTCCATTAGCTGGGAAGGTAATGGCGACTGTTTTTTCGGATAGTCACGGAATTGTGTGTATCGACTATCTTGAAAAAGGTAAAATAATAACGAGTACGTATTACGCATCATTACTTGATTAACTGAAGACAGAAATTGCAAAAAAACAGCCGCATTTAAAGAAGAAGAAAGTGCTGTTCCATCAAGACAACGCACCTGCTCACATTTCGGCGGTCGCCATGGCCAAAATTCACGAACTGCACTTCAAATTGGTTGACCACCCACTGTATTCATCAGATCTGGCCCCCAGCGACTTTTTCTTGTTTCCTAAGCTTAAAGTTTTGCTTGGATGACAGAGATTTTCATCGAACGAGGAGGTCATCGCATACGTAAACGCCTATTTTGCGGAGTAAGACGCCAACTACTATTTAGAGGGGTTAAAGAGGTTAGAGTATCGATGGGAAAAGTGTATCGACTTAAAAGGAGATTATATTGAAAAATAAAACTATATTTGACCGAAAAAATACTTGTTTCTATGTTAGGCTCAAAACTTTTCAGATTATCCTCGTATATATATATTTTTTTTATAGCGGCACGTAGTTAGATATAATTTGAATTTTAATTCGTTTAAAATATTAAAATTCGTTAAAAATATAAATTTATAAAATATGTTCTACTTCAAATCAATTAAATCATTATTTTTTACTTTTACAGATTTTTTTACAAGCAATTAACCAAATATAAATATAAGCCGTAAGTCAAGTTAAGTAGCAGCAAAGTAATCTGCGTAAGTAATATATCATATCATAATGATTTTTTTATTAAAAAAGTAAAAAAAGTTGCCAAGTGCACATGTAATGTGCAAAAGTAAATTTATGTTAAAAAAATTAGATGTTCCGGCATATGTGATTTTAAATAAATAAATCGAACTTATTCCATTTGTTAGAAATTCGAACTTAAATGCAGATCTGTTAACCAGCAAGAATAAACTTATGTTAAAAAATAAGATGCTCCGGCACATATGGTATTAAATTATTCCTTTTGTTATTTTAAGATATCAAGTAGCCAAATCAGGTGCTTGTTCCGTTTGACAGAAATTCTAAGAGTTTACTCTAGCTGATGACAGATTAACCGACATATAAATTTGAATTTTTTTTAAACGGAAGAAGTACTTGACTCGACGATTAGATATTTGAAATAAACTTAAAAAAGAAATAATTTAATGTTACATATGCCAGAGTACTTAGTTTTTAACATAAGTTTGTTCTTGATAGTCGACAGGTCGGCATATAAACTCGAATTTCTATTAAATCTAGAATAAGCATCTAATTCAGCAACTTGATATTTTAATTTTAAAATAACGCTATAAAATAAAGAAATAATTTAATATTACACACAAAGTGTTACGTATCTTTTTATTTCAATTAAAGAATCTTCTAACCCATATGATAGTAGCTTTAATTCTCTTTAAAAAATAATAATATAAATTTGTCTAACTCAATTCAAATAATATGTTCCCAATTCAAGTGGTAATAGCTTTCATTTTATCTTAATATATATGTATATATAACAATTTTCTTTTTTATTTAATAATACATTTCGCTTATTGTGTAAAACCAAAGTGATACGTAGTTTTTTATTTTTATTGAAAAATCTTCTATTCCAAGTGATAGTAGCTTTAATTTTCTTTAAAAAATAATATAAATTTGCGTTGTTTAACTCAATTTTATAATTATTTAATAATATATTTCGCTTATTGTAGTTTTTTAAATCTACTGCACACTGTTTGTCTGTAAATAGTAGCAACATTGTTTTACATCATTTGAAAAATTTGTTGTAAGTATATATACAATATATATATATATGTTTTGATATTAATTTTTGAAGTGATTCATTGGACAAATTTCATAATTTCAAGTATTCTATTTGCGATACATAGTCACTTAATATTGGCTATCTAAATAACACATATAGGTTGAAGATAAAAAGAAATACTAGAATTAAAAATTATTTATTATCGAGGAAGGCCTCATGTGATAGTAAAGTTATCGAAAAATTTGTAGTTGACGAAATATTTTATATTTTATCATACTATATTTTAACATAAAATATAAAATATTAAGTAATTAATTTTTGTATTTTAATACTTTTATACAAAATAATGAGCTAAATCAATTGGTCATTGGTATTAACCAATTTTTGCTTTAAGCATTTTTTTCTATTTCCAAAACTATGAGTGTTATTCAAGTTGATTTTAAGTTCAAGTTGATCTAGTGTAATAAGATGTCATATTTACAATCATTTAATACAAATTCAAAATAATTTTAAAAAAGAAAAATAAATTTAAAAAAACAATATTAATTGATAAATTATTAAATAAAAAATTTGACGATAAATCATTAAATCATCTTATAAAAATAATAAATGAATTATATTACATAAATATTTTTCTTTTACAGGTCAAATCAGATAAAGCAAAATAATATTATATATCAGCTTCGGCGCTGTATATCGGCTGCCTTAATTTTCTGCTTAGCGCTGTATAACGGCTGCTATAATCGCTGATATATAGTACAATTAATTTAGATTAAAGAAAGAAATGTTTATTCACAAAAAGAAACTTATGACTTTAATGCCTATAGATAAAAATATAATTATTAATGATGAATGGTTGACATACATGTGGAACATTTCCATCATCTATTACGAAATTATTTTGAATATACACCTGTTGAAACATGGCGAATACAATGTCTCGAAACAATACAACCTATACTAATAAATAAAAAAACATATACAAATGTTACACAGTTCATCTGATCCATATGATGGACATTGGATATGTAGTTACTATGATACTAAAAATATTTTTATATATGATTCATTAAATGGTACAAAATTATATATACATCATGAACAATTCTTAAAAAGA